TTGAAAGAAGGTCAAAAGCGAGGAACTGTTAAACGGTGGAAAAGGTGTAGACATCTGATTGGAAGCCGGAAAGGTGGAAGAGGGACATAACAAGTGTTCTGGACACTAATCCACTCCTCCCTCTTTTAACATGAAAAAGCAAAATGATAGAAAAAAAAAGAAAAAAAAATCCCCACCAATGAGAAACAAGTAAATAGTTTAAGAAATCAAGCCATGTGTAATCCACTATCACCTCCGATATAAAATATTTAGTAAAGTAAGCCAAATGATGAAAATATATATTTCAGCCAATGAAAGCCAAAAATTGTTTAAGTGATTGTAAATTAGTATGTATATATAATTCTCCAGTTCAACATCAATATGTATTAAAATTAATATGATTTCTCATTTATCTTTATGTAATCGATGAAATATTATTTTACTTCTTAAAATGATTTTGATTGGCCGGTTTAACAAATCATTCACATACCATATAAGTAAACAATAAGTTATTTCAAAAAATAACATGTTATTTAAGAACTACATATGTTAAGTAATGTTAGTTTTAACAATGTCAAATCGAAAAATAGAGATCATAGTAAAAATTTATTTTGAAAAAATAGTGAACCGATATAATATATAGTGGTTAGCCCACAAAAGATGCAGAGGTTTCTATGTATATTTTCCAAATAAAAATAAATAGTTTAATTTTTTTTTATATAAAAAGCTTGTATTTTTTAAATGTTATATGAATAAAATTAGTTTATTATTAGAAAGGTGTCTCCCTCTTTGGGGGGTGGAAGGTGTCAGTTTTCTGTGAAAGTATAGTACATTGTTTGAAATGGTAGCCACAATAAACTACATTAAAGGAAGATTATGAGAAAAGAGAATACATCTTAATCGATCTTGTGTTTTTACATCTCTTCTTCCTTCTCCCTCCATCAAAATCAACAACGTGGTGAGTGACGGTGAATATAAATCATCGATGAAGGGTCGTGTACCCCTATAGTTACCCAAGTTACCTTAGTCCCACCGATCCACTGCCTGAATGTCGGCATCTTCGATTTTTGTTTCCTCTCCATCGATTCATATTTTCCCAAAAACCCACCGTCTCCCATTCTCTCATCCACTTTACATATCTACTTGCTTTTCATTCACACCGGCGAATCCTTCCCTAAGAATTTTATTTGAAAAAACAGTATTGTTATATAAAGAAATGTACATATGATGCTATAAGGACAAATAAATGAAAGTATGGTGAGCTTTTTTGCATTTAGACCTATTTATTTGCAACCTTCCTTTTTTTGCATATAATTGTATAAAACCTTACCAATTTAGAAGTTTGGCATCCGCATGTCGGAAAGCCTCCCGTAGTGCTTTTTCGATTTCAATGGTGGATTTTTTACTCAACAATAGCCCCGTCTGTACAACCTTGAGGCGCTCCTTGTATAGATCCTTCATGTGGTTCGCATGAAAAGGGTTTCTATAAAAATTACTTGCCACAATATTGTTGATTATTATCCTAGTTATAATTATAACTTTTTATATATTTGTTGGAAGACATTGTTTGAAGTCACACAATTTCTAAAAACTCAGGGTTCCAATGATATAAGTTGGTACAAAAGTATGAATTTACTCATAATACCCAATAATAACCGAATTTATGTATCTATATTTATATCTAAGCCTTACTATGAAAAAATTGTTTTGCTACCTGATATCCATTTGTCAATTAACCAAATCTTTTTAGAATACACCACTTAAGTATGTTCTATTTCACCACAAACAGTTTGAAACTTACATTTTAGAATAGGCCACTTAAGTAGATAGAATGTGGCCACATAAATATTTCGGTATTAAATTAAAATATTAATAAAATAAAACACACCATTTCCTTTTTGACATAACTTAGGTGTTGTCTCATTTTTCATTATCTTTTACAAAAAACCGTATCTTTTCTAGACTGAATGAGACCAACTGAATATTTTACCCTTATACCACAAATAGAAGTTTACCAATATTTATCAATTTTAACAGGATTTTGGAGAGGGAAGATGTATATAAGAATTAGTTTCATGATATGTTAAGCATTGTAGAAGGGTAGTTTAGTTATTTCACTAACATTAAAACATGTCCATAAAACTACGTATAGATACTTCATTGGTATTTGGGTATAAATCATATTAGAAGGGTAAGGAATACCTCAGAGATTTATTCAACCTTGATTTGATCATAATAATAATTAGTTAGAATGCAATATAAAAGAGGATGTTGCATTTTGTTTATTTTGTTATTTACTCAAATCAAGTATACCAAATCAAGGTGGATCGAATCATTTTGTGAAATCTGAATTCAAAGCCTGGAATAGGAAATTCAGAATAGATAAACACAAAGAAGGAATTCTACACAATATTGTTGTCTAAAAGTGTCAAAGTTTGATGAACCAAAGACAACCCATCACGTTTGCTTTCGAGAAACAAAATACTTTACAAGAAAAAAATATCATACTTGTTTGAATGCTTCAATTGATTGTGTTAGGTTCCTACTCTGATAAGGATTAGCATTTCGTGGTTATAATGAGAAGGAAGACTCAGATAAAAAAGTTAACTTTCTTGAACTATTATAGTGGTTAGTCGGTCGATGCGATGTTGCATATCATGTTGTGTTAAAGAATGTCCCAAAAAAATGCTCAAATAAAGTATGATGAAATCCAGAAAGATATTGTGCAAGCATGTTCATATGTAATTTTAAATGTTATTACAGGAGATCTTGGAAATGATTTTTTTTTGCAATTTCAGTAGACGAGCCACGTGATGTATCATGTAAAGAACAAATGGCATTGGTTTTGCGATTTGTTAATAGAAAATGTGAAGTTGTAGAAAGGTTTGTTGGCCTTAGAAATGTTAATGACACTTCAGCTTTGTCACTAAAGGCTACCATTTATGATATGCTTTCAAAATGGAATTTGAGTCCCAGTAAGGTTAGAGGACAAGGGTATGATGGAGCCAGTAACATGAGTGGTGCATTTAATGGATTGGAGACTTTGATTATGAATGAAACAAAATTTGCACACTTTGTTCATTGTTTTGCTCACCAATTACAGTTAGCCTTAGTGTTAGGTGTAAAGAATCACACACTGGTTAATGATTTATTTGATGTGGTTTCTCAATTGTTGAATATTATTGGATCTTCTTACAAACGACGAGGTAAGTTAAGAAAAAAACAAGCAGATAAAGTTATGACAGCATTAGCTGAATGTATGCTTTATGTAGTTTAGTTTCAGTTCTTTATGTTAATTGCTCAACCAGTTCAATTTTTATGTGGTTTATTTCAGGTGAGCTTGAGAGTGGTACCGATTTGAATCAAGAACTTGGTATTAAACGACCATCTAATACTCGATGGGGTTCTCATTTTGCATCTTTATTAAATATCCAAACCATATATGCTTCCATTTGTGATGTACTTGAAGACCTTGGTAAATTTGATACTGATCGTTATCGTAAAGCTGAAGCAATTCATATCTTAAAGTTGTTAAAATCGTTTGATTTTGTGTTTTGTCTACATTTGATGGTTGATATATTGGGAGTGACGAATCATTTCAATACAACACTACAAAGAAAAGACCAAGATATCGTAAATGTCATGAATCAAGTAAGTAACACAAAAAAAAAACAATTCAACAAATTAGGAATATAAGATGGAACCACTTTTCGAGAGCTGAACCGTCACTTTAATGAGGTGATTGATATGCAAACTTCAAGAGCTGAACCATTACTTTAATGAAGTAAACACGAATTTACTTTTTTTGTATTGCTTGTTTGTGCGCTAGTGATTCTTTCAAAACCTTTGATTTAGATAAAATAATGGAGATGACTACACTTTATCCGGAAGAGTTTCCAACAAAATATGATATTCGAGTTATTGAAGTGGAACTTGAAATAAAGATATGCGATAAGATGAACGATTTAATGATTTAAAGAGCATTGGAGACCTTACCAAAAAGATGGTCGAAGCAAATAAACATATAATATTTCCTAAGATTTATCTTCTTGTAAGACTTGCATTGATCTTACCCGTAACAACAAGTTTGGAACACGTATTTTCAGCACTGAAGTTGATAAAGACTGATATACACAACAAAATGAGTGACCAATTTTTGAGTGATAGTTTAATGACATATGTTGAAAAAAATATTTTAAAAGGTATCGGTAACGATACAGTTGTGAAAATGTTTCAAGATATAAGATCTCGTAGGGTTCGATTGTAAGAACTTTATTATAACTTTTGAAACGATGTTTAAATATTTTAGGCATACAACTCGATTACTACCACTAGTATGTTTTACTCTTTCAAATTTTTTACTGAAACTTGGTGCATTGTCAATTTCCTAATTGACGACCAAATCCGAACCTTGGCCGAGACGGAACCATGCGCAAAAAAAGAGTTTGGCTAGCGACCAATACGGACGAACCCTAAACATAATTATGCTATTGTAACGGTGTATTGTTTTTCCAATTGAGGGCCAAATTCGAACCTTTCGGTCCAGACCTGAGTAGACTAGTAACTAGTTTTTTGTTGAGTAAATTACGCGAATGGTCCCTATGGTTTGGGGTAATTTGCATGTTTGGTCCCTAACTTATTTTTTTAACTCGGAAGGTCCCTACTGTTTGTTATTGCTACACATTTGGTCCCTATTGTTTGTTTTTGTTACGCGTTTGGTCCCTATCTTACGTAAAAAGACAGTTATTTAAATAGAGAAAAATGATAGGGTAGGTAAGGTAAGGAGAGAGGATGAGATTGAGGGTGTGTTTATTTAAATAAATTAAAAAATCAAGGGAAAAATATACTTTTTATGTAAGACAAGGACCAAGCGTGTAACAAAAACAAACAGTAGGGACATTCTGAGTTAGAAAAATAAGTTAGGAACCAAACGCGCAAGTTACCCTAAACCATAGGGATCATTCATGTAATTTACCCTTTTTTGTTCTTAGCTCGGTTTTTGTTCACCTTTAGCCGTGCGGATGCGTAACACTGTCACAGCCTTATTAACTCGCGAGCGAAATGTTTCCAGTACAGACGAAAACACTTCCCGCCTCTAGAAACCCCTAATTTTGACTGATCAGAGGATTTATCCGATGGACTCCGGAGAGAGCAGTGATGAAAGTCCGGTAGTAGCTAAGAAAGGCAAATCGAAAACTCCTCGGAAACCTAAAACTAGTGTTCTTAAACAGAGTTAGTATCTCCCTCGTCCAAATTTCAATAACACGAGATCTCGTTGATTGTAGTTTAATTTCTACTTTTGGTTCTTTCAGAATCTCCTGCCGAGTTCTTTGCGGAGAATAAGAACATTGCTGGGTTTGACAACGTGAGTTCTATTCTTAACTCTGTATATGTTTATTTTTGTCATGAATGTTCAGTTTAACTTCATTTGGTATGGAAATTTTACGACATTCTATGAATTATATCATTTTATGCTCAAATGGAGTTGCCATGAGTTCCTATTGGCTGAGAATATGGAAATTATAACACATCAAACGCAATTACATTACTTTTGCAGTTGGCCTAGGGTTGTTATGTATGACTTTGTTGATACTGGGGAATATGTTGACAAACGTGTTTTTTTGTGTGCTATTTCGTATGAAAATTAAAATCTGTTTGAGTGAATATCAGCCTGGGAAATCCCTTTACACTACAGTGAGAGAACTTGTTGAAAATGCACTTGATTCTGCAGAGTCCATTGCAGAGCTTCCATTAGTTGAAGTAACAATGTAAGTGACCATGTCTGTAAATATACTAGTATTATTATGTATCTTGTTTCATGCTCTTAACACATAACCATGTACTGTAGTTCTATTTATCATATTGTTTTGGTATCACAGTGAGGAGATTAACAGAAGCAAATTCAATTCCATGATTGGTCTTATTGATCGGGAGCGAATTGATGAGGCACTATATGGTGATTTTGAGACAGTCAAGGCTCGTGAGGTTTGTACTCTCTTTGTGTAAGTTTTTAACAGTTAATTGGTTAATCAGTTGATGCATATATATAGAGGGAAAGTTACATTTTTAAGCCACTATATGGATCCAAGAGGTCATTCAAACTTTTCTTTCCATTAGTTTCAGTGTTGGTTTTATTTGATTCATCTTTGTCTTAAAAACTGGAGTGTAAATGATGAGACCATTTCATGAGGGTAAGCCTCAAAAATAAGAAAGAAATAGATAATCCTAAACTTCTTCCTTTCATGACTACTTAAAGCATACGCATAAATAGTAATTACTGTACTATCATATTAAATTGAAAGTTATGTAATTAGTTCATGGGAATCATATACACATTGTTGTCTGTCAACCTACTTTCTGTTTAAATTTTTACTCATGTTCTTCCTCTTTCCATTGCTTCTTGTTTTACTATCAGAAACGGCTTGCCAAAGAAGCTCGTTTCCAAGAAATCCAGGCCAAAAATTCAGCCCTTGGGAAGAAAGTTAAAGAACCAACTGCTGCAAAGGGCATGAAGGGTCGAGGTGAGGCCTCATTTTACAGGGTGACTTGTAAGGTGTGAACATATTTCCATTTCAAACCTTGTATTATTATTGTCTTTACTCATATTTGTAGTAATTTCATCTTTCATCCATATTTTATTTGCTTGGTTCAGACTGACAAGCTACATTATGAATTTTTATGTAGGATAATGGAAGAGGAATGCCTCATGATGATATCCCAAATATGTTTGGACGAGGTTTAGTTATCTAATCTCCTACTAATTGATATATTGAATATATTCAATAATTGTAATTATGCAAGATATGTTTCTCAACGTTACATGCTGGGATTTCTGTATCATTGTCATGTTACTTTTCTAACATATAAACACCATGCAGTTTTATCTGGGACAAAGTATGGGCTGAAGCAAACACGTGGAAAATTCGGACTTGGTGCAAAAATGGTATGTCAAAATCTTTATTAGGGTATTTCAACTTCATTCTTTCCCTTCTTCTTCTGGTGATAATATGAATATATGTTAAATCTATATTTGTTTCTTGCAGGCATTAATTTGGTCAAAGATGAGTACAGGACTACCTATAGAGATATCATCATCAATGAAGAATCAAAATTACACTACATTCTGCAGGCTGGATATAGACATTCATAGGTATTAATATTATTATTCTTGTGTAGGGTGCACTACTGTTCATAAAAGGACACATAATAACTTTTTTACATGTGCAACTCTTTGTTGATGCCCTAATGTTTTGTATCTATTATTCTTCCATGATCAGAAACATTCCCCATATCCATTTACACGAGAAGAGAGATGACAAAGATCAATGGCATGGAGCTGAGATCCAAGTTGTAATCGAGGGAAACTGGACAACATATCGTGTATGTATTATGTATCACTTTATGATTCTATCCAAGTTTTAGCATTTAGTAATTATCATTTATCTCTTAATCCAACACTTTTTTTTTTTTTTAAATACTTGCAGTCTAAGATATTGCATTATATGCGTCAAATGGCTGTTATTACTCCATATGCCCAATTCATGTTTCGATTTGTCGCAGACACACCAGAGTATACATGAAAACACAATCTGACATTCTTATAATCTTAAAGTGATTTTATGGGTGTGTACCATGTTGTTTATTAACGTTGTTTTTCTTTTTTCAACTTTTAAAGTAAAAACGTGAGCATAAGGTTTGCAAGAAGGACAGATGTAATGCCTGCAGTTCCTCTTGAAACAAAGTACCACCCATCAGCTGTGGATTTGCTTCTGATCAAACGCCTGATTGGTGAAACTTCAAAGCAGAATCTTTTGCAATTTCTTCAGCATGAATTTGTTAACATTGGGAAGGCACATGCTGAACGATTAATCGGTATAATATAAAAAAATCTCACTAAACAAACACTTCCACTTTGGTTACTTCTTGTTAATATGTTTCTGAAAATAGTTTTATTATCATGTTATGTTACACAGGGGAAATGGGTCCGGATTTCAGCTCCAAAACACAAGTCAACTCATTGACTTCACAACAGATTGTCCGCATGCATCAGTTGTTTCGACAAGCCAAGTTTGATGATCCTAGTGGTGATGTAAGATCCCCTTTGTTTATTAATTAAGCTTTAAGCTCCTTTACTTTTAAAAAAATGAAGTTATGAGTAAATTTGATATTAAAAATCTTAAAAAATAACAGTTCTTCTTTATAGTGTCTTAGTCCTGCAGGAGAGTACAACCTTCGCCTGGGTATAATAAAGGAACTTCAGCCAGAAATGGTTGCAACATATACTGCAAGGTTATATTCATATGTATTAAAATGTTTAAATTAGTAGTATGAGATTGAACATGTTTGTAATTGTAACTAGTGTTTTCAAATTATTGCAGTGCTCAAGTATTTGAAGGACACCCATTCATTGTAGAAGCTGGAGTTAGTCTAGGAGGAAAAGATGTCAAGCAAGTAAGTTTGTTTTCTCATTTCTGTATGTAATATTATAGTTTCTATGATCATATTTAACAAACACACGGATTAATTATAAATCTAAAATTTTTAGGGTTTAAATATCTTCCGGTTTGCAAATCGTATTCCACTGCTGTTTGAGCAAGGTGCTGATGTTGTCACAAGAACTGCCATGAAGAGAATCAAGTAAGACTTTGTATATATATATATATATATATATATATATATATATATATATATATATATATATATATATTAATGTTTCTGCTTCACTTTAATTTGGAGCAGTTTTCTTATATTTATTATTGTTGTTCAGTTGGAATATTTACAAAATTAATCAGACACAGGATAAGATCGGGGTTTTTGTTAGCATTGTAAGCACAAAAATTCCATTCAAAGGGACTGGAAAGGAATATATTGGAGATGACATAAGCGAGATTGCTAATGCTGTCAAGGTAGGTTTACAGTTTATCACATCAATTCTCAATATATTCTATTTTTTTAGGCTAACTTTTATGCTTTTCAGACTTCTCTTAAACAATGTTGCGTCCAGCTAAAGTCAAAAATAGTGAAGAAAATTCAGGCTCGTGAGCAGCAAGAGAGAAAAAGAAATTTAAGCAGGTAATCTTTTATGCCTGAAAATTAAGTATTAAATTATTGAGGTGGTTTTTAATTATATATTGGTTGTAGGTACATTAATGATGCTACGGGTGCTATATATGGAATACTGAAGGAGGCATCACAGTTGCATGGAAATGCAAATAAGAAGAAACGCACAGAGTTAAAGGATGAAGATGCTCAACTTCTTCAGAAGGTCTCAGATCGTGTGATCACAAAAGAGATCCTAAGTGAAAAGCTTGCTCAGCATGTTGAACAGGTAAACAAGTTTTGGTTAAATATTTATTTATAAAGATATTGATTTTTGTTGATAACATAAATTGTTGTAGGTGGATTATGAGATGGCAATGGAGTATGCGACACAAAGTGGAGTGAGGGAAGAACCGAGAGAAAATATATACTTACAACCACTTGAGCCTCAAAACAACTTCATAGACTTCCAGACTCCTGTCTTTGTCTTCAGGCTCTTTCACTAGGTATTCAACCAATCCATATAATTTAATTTGGAGTATTCTTATTTTCTTCACATTGTTGTATTGTATTAAATAAGCAACTAACAAAGTTTGAATATAAATTATTTGATGGGATTTATCATTTATAATAGATTGTGTTTTTATATACATTTGCCCATTTGCGTATGTCTGTATAATGCGATATTTCAAACCATTTACACAATGCTGGTGAGTGCCGAGTGCTAATGCCCAATATGGTGATCTTATATAAGGTGTTGGATGCTTCTTTGTTTTATTGCACCGAAGTGAGCGAGGCCTGAATTTGAACCAAAGACCTAGCTAGAGGCAATATAAAATACGAGCACTATAATTTCCTACAAAAAAAACTGTGCACATCGTTTCCAACATTGACCAACATTATTTAATCCAAAAATTACAAGTGTTATGATGATAATTCGTAACTAATCACTTCTAAAAGTGAAAAAAAACAGTTGCTTTTCTTCTATAATTTCTACCAACTCAATTTTGTGCAACTATATTATTTTATCAAATTAATTGAATTAGCGCAAATTAACACTCGGTTTAAGAGAAGTAATGAAAAAAAACATATTCATGGAGACAATGTCAATCATTAGCAACAACTATTATTTGCAATGGAGACAATGTCAGCCCTTGTGGCCATGGAGGTTCGCCTGCAATGATTCCAGGGCATGAAGCAAAGCTTTATGTTTGCAGCGGGGGATTAGTCGGTGCGCGAAAGCTGGCCCGGAAACCCTCGTTAGGGAAGTTCCCTTTAAAAAAAAAAAAAAAAAAAAACTATTATTTGTATTATAGATATTAATAATATAATACAACATAAAATAAAAGTCTGAGTTTGGGGTAGGCCCAGTTTAGTTAATATTGGGCCGCCGAAGATAGTATTATGGCTAAATATCCACTGCAAATCACCAATTATCCACTGGATCAAGATAAATCTCAATATAAAAAAAAAGAGAACTAACGAAAGGATAAGTAGATTCAGCAACATCATTATCATTATTATCCACCCTAATAAATATAATATTTTTATCACATGTCAATCTAAACAAATGATATTTTCTTATATTTTTATATTTTATTGTTTTCCGCGTATAATTATCTTATTCGTTCAAAACAAATAAATGCCACATACTCATATATTCTTTCATTAAATCTTATAATAAATACAAAATCAATCTTCAAATAAATCATAATCAATATCATAAATAATACCATCATGAAAACTGTTTGTTTTTTTTTGTTTTTTTCTAATGTAAATCCGTAAATTCAATGTATAATGGCAAAATTTATTGTCATTCATACAAACTTCCATAGGTGTTAATGTTTATTTTCCGTAAATAATTGTTTAATGTTAAAAAGTTGATATTGATTTTTTTTTTCAATAAATCCGTGTAAAACATAGGTCTCACATCTAGTTTTATATGAATAAGAAGATAGATTTGAACAAATGGTAGAAGGATATATGATTTATCATTAGCCCAACTTTTAATTAGAGACCAATATTAAATTAACTACAACCAACCCAAATCAGCTTAATATATATTTGGATACCTTGACCTTGTATGAGTTTTAGTTATTGGAAATGATAACCCTACATTTCTAAAGATATAATTAAAGGTGACGAACCGACACGAGATAAACGAGTTTGAGTAAGATATTTTAACTCGTTTAAATAAACGGGTTGACACGACACGACACAAAAATTTAACGGGTAAGGTTAAAGTTGAGAATTTCAACTTGAATATGACTCGAAAATGATCCGTTTATTTATATGCAAGTTTTTTGAATTCTTTAAATAAACTAGAAAGATACAAAACCAAAAATAATAAGTAAAAGAAAACCTTTGAATTGAGTTATTTTGTAATGTTGAAATGACTTAGTCATCTAGATCAAAACTTCATTTTCAGTTTTTTCATTCTCTCCCAAACTATATAGTCCTTTTAATCACTCTTTCATCCTAATAATCTTTTTCTCCACCTCCCCAACTTATATTCTTTCAATTTATTTGTTTAAACTTGCTATAACTTCATCTTCCCACCTCCAAACTATTACTTTTTCCTTTCCGCCTATCAAACTCCTACTTTTTCAACATGCTCAATCTTTTAACTTCACATGACACGACATATTTCAAGGTATACCTCTAACACGAAACCAGACACGAACTCAGCACACAAATAAATAGGTTGACACGACACGACATGTTAATTAAACGGGTTGGGTTATAATTAAACACTTTCAACCCGTTTAGTGTTTTGACATTACACAATTGACACCTCTAGATATAACACCCATATTACCTTAAAGACTATGTTTAATTAATTAAATTAACTACAACCAACCCAAATCAGCTTAATATATATTTGGATTCTGGTATCATAAAGTTGTAATGAATTAATTCTGATTTATGTAAGCAATATGTGTTGCAGATGTTGAATCCTTCAAATGGAATTTGGCCATTCACAGTAACAACTATTCTCATGTCACTCATTTTGAAGGGTACATTGGATTTGATCTCCATATCTTCTGCTGTTGCTGCACAACCATCATGACCTGGTCAATGTCAGCAAGTCAAGCAGTAAAGCAGCTCATTTTTGGGCAAAATACTAGAAATGTAAATTAAGAAATATTGGACCAATAAAAGAAAATCATCAGTAGATGCTCGATATAATAATTTTCTTGATTAATATATGCTAAAATTAGGGACACTTTAATCAAGCAACAATTCACAATAAATAATGTGTGACTATATGTGTGAGGGTGAGAGAGAAGATAAACAGCATTCAAAATGCAAATTCAGAAGGTACGTAATTATAGGTAGCTCCCTTAAACTAACTACACCTAACTTGAAACAAACATAATCTAATTTTATAACTCTTTTACTGTATAAGGTTGCAAGTCCTTATAATATTTTAATTTAGAAAAAAAAAAAAACAAATCTTTTGTTTATTGTCTGACTTTATTTATTCATGTTATTGAAGCTTATTTAAGATAAGCAACATATTTTAAGTTTAATATGTCCAATCAGAATCCAATATAATGATTTATATTTTTCTCAACAAGTTAAATGGATTGAAACATTCAAAAGAAAGAAAAAGAAGGTAGATTGAGTCTAGCTGTTGGTTTTTGGACCCATGCATGAAAGCTTCTCAAACTGAGTCGACGACTATCATAACTTGGTAATAACCTTTAAAATCATTAAAGTTATTAAAATATTTTGGCATGTTTCTCGCACATACTTGCTTAGTTTCTTATACCACAAATCAACAATAATATTATATAATTATTGAAATGGATATTTTATTATTGTTATGCTAAATATTATCCATAAGAAACTCATTGCTTATTTGTAAAGGGAGAGAGAAATAATTCATAATATACATTTATTTTGACGATTGTTAAGAGTTTATGGTATGACACCTAACGATTTACACCCTTACATGTTATATAAGTAGGGTTTGGGTAATTTAATGAGTTCTGTAAAAATGTAAGTAAAATCCATCTTCAAAAATCTGCAAACTTTTATTTTTATAGATAAAATTCAAGAAATAACAAAGTAGTTTTATCATATTTCCGTTATGTTTTGAAAGGAAAACAACTTTTACGCCTTGTTCTTGAGTTTTTAGTAATTCAATAAAGGTAATGGAAGAAAAATATTGACTGAAATAAAGTAAGTGGAAATAAAAATTTCCTTAATCCATGTTCCTGACTTCGAAGGAAATAAAAAGTAAATTTTACGTTTTTATGTTTTCTTCAAGAATCTATGGCTCCAAAATTCATTTATTCCCCTCACTTTCATTCCATTAATTAAACTCGAAAACACGATTTTTCTTCGACATGCCTCACTTTACCTCTATATCCATCAGGAACAAGACGTTAAAAAAATCGAATGTGTAGATGAAACTTGAAAATTGATTTACTTATTATGCTGTTTTCTTTTTTTTACTATTAGTTAAATTGTTTAGCACACATCAAATTGTGCAACTTTTTTATATAACCAATTTGATATTTGATAAATAGAATCATAGAAATCGTCCGATGCTGCAGCAATTTATAGTCATCAATTTCTTCGTCTAACTGTATATTGTTTTATATCCTTACTAGTTTATAATCCGTGAGAACCACGGTTATAAAAGTAATTAAACTTTCATAATAAAAACCTAAAATTATTAATCAATTATTTCAAATAAATTATTTTAAATAACTTATTAATCAAGATATATTTTTTTAGTTATATAAAATTATAATTATTGATTTAAATAAATACATGAAACTATATCACCTTATAATATATATTAATTTAATTTAATTTTTTATTCTAATGTAATTAGTTTAATGTAATTAGAATGTAAAATTTGAAATGTACAATTAATTATTAATTTAATATAACGGAAATTTAAAATTTAAAATGAAGAATTAATAGGTTGATATGTGACATGATAGGTGACATATAACATTAATGAAGATTTCTAATATTGTGATACTTATCGATCGGAATATAAACGTATTCATTTATTAAAACAGAAAGAACTTTTATTCGCATTTAAAATCATTGAAAAAATTAATCCTAAAAACTCCTAATAACTCATAAAATTAAGCTCATCGCATAATATTTTTTCTTTTTCTTTTCTGTGTATTCTTACCCTTTTCTTGACATATAGGGAGTCACCTAATCAACCAACCAATCATTTTTGAAGGTGAAAAAGGAGGCAATATTTTATGATTGGTCGATCATATCTTATTAAGTAAATGATAATGTGAAAGTGACTTACGATGGGAATTTTGGGCAACTGAAATATGATTTTGTTCAATTATTATATATTAGAGACCCATCCACAAATGAAAACGATCATTTTTTTTTTCTTACTAAGGGGTGTTTAGATAGGAAAAAAATATGGTGTTTATTGTTTATTGCTTATTTCCACCACAATAAGTTAAGTTTAAATGTTTTGATAAAATCCTTAAAAATCAGCTTATTGTGTTAAAAATAGGTTAAATAAATTAATTTTAATAACCATCTCATCCCTTGCTTATTGCTTATTACTTATTCTCACCACAAATAAACTAATAAGCTATAAGCTAATAGGCTAATCCAAACACACCCTAACTTTATTTATTTAGGTGTTTATACATG